TATATATAATCCCATGACGTCGGTTTTCTTAAGCATTGCATTCTGTCCATGTCATAAGTCCCCTTCATACATTTTGACGCTAATGTCTTCTCCTCCATGACGTTCTTGCAACAGCAATTTTTTATCAACTTCAATTAACTGCAGCTTCTCAAAACAGGAGCAGGATTCTAAATTCAAGCAAAATTTTAAATTCAACAACACAATATCAACATTGAGGAAAACAAGATTTCCAAGTTTTTAGAACTTGAAAACTGACACTTGAAAAGCAACACTTGACATGCTAAAAGGTGTTTCTTGGAATTGGATGAGTTTTATTATTATTTTTATTTATTCACTGCTCACTGATTTGATAAAAGCCATATGCTCAATGCAGTCGCCTTAATCACTTTTCTTGATTCCTAGGTATTCAAGTCATTTTTCAAGTGTCAGTGTTCAAGTTTGTCAGTTTAAAAAAGCAATAGATCATAGATAAAAGATCAAGATAAAAGCAGGATGTTGTTCTTCTTTAGCACTTCTTAGCATTCCTTCATCACCTTCACCTAAATGCATTCAACGACATACAACATGATACAAAACAAACACCCAACATACTCGTTTTTGTCGCGGAGCACTGCTGCAAAGAATTTTGTTGCGGTATCAGTATCTAAAAATGATAACTATACAAAATGTACATACTCCTGAGTAGGTTAACACTTACCTATCTCGCCTTTGGCAAACATCTCCCTTATAAAATTCACGCGGTCGTTAAAAGCTGCAAGAATTATTAATAAATAGTGACAGCTAATGTTACAAAGTTGATCCACCATGAGTTCCAGAAGTCCCAGAAGTACCCGGGTCATTTTCCACAGCCATAGGCTGTATTTCGAGGAAGTCAGCAGGTTCTGAATACCACATAAAGCTCATAAGCATCACAAGTCTTCGCTAAAGACTCACCAGGTCCCCAAAGGGGATGTTTCCTGGCACAAAAGGTGGACGGCAGGATGCAAAAATAATTTTCAGATACGAACCTACTACTCAGTACTTATACTCACATTCCTTGCTGAACTTTGTCTCTTAAACGCATCAAAATACTATTACGGTCGAGGATGTCTACGAAATCCACCAAAACGGATCCGTCTTTGAGGGCTTCTACCCTACGCACCATGCTGGCGTTGACCGTTACATCAATTTTGTTGCAAAACACCACAAATATGGCTGGGCCGTGCACTGAAGTACGTATTTTCAAGGCATATACGTATATGGACTCAGTTTACACAACATACCAGAGAGCGGGAACTTCGCGCCACCGAAGATGACGGTGTTGAACAATGTGGCTCTTTTGAGCTCGTTCAACACGTCATCGTTTTCGTGTTTGACCTAAAAAACCGAGAAAGAGAGTCCATTATATATTATACGTTTATACAGTCCATCTGTTTCTTTTATGACAGTATCTTGTTTTTGGTTTGTTTTTGTTTTTGCCTATATTTAGATACCATTTTGTAGAGTTATTTACCGTATATGGAGCGGACTGTGTCTGCACTGTATCGTTGACCGCACGGACTGCACATCACTGCGGAGCACGCG